GACTAATATTCTATATAAACCATGAATCCTTCCTTTCAAGGCGATGAAACCCAAATCCGTCACGTAATAAATGCAGCAAAAAATGCATCTTTGAGCAGATAATCTTCGCTGAAACAGAATGAGAAAGAATTTTTGAACATAGAAGGATGTTTTTTTTTTTAGGCAGCGATTGAAGAGCAATTGAACCAATTTATGAGCACCTTACCCAATACCTTGTACCACTTTGCCGCAATTATTCATAGAATTACATTTCAATACAAGGTGTTATATCGGACGGACGGACAAGCTTTAATCGCCACAATACAAGGCGCGTCTATCTCAAGCTCTCCTGGGTATTACAAACAAAAACGAAATGAATATATCCCCTTCCTTGAGTAGTGGCTATAATAGTTGATTTCTTAACCTCTTGGCGCGCTTGACTAACTACATGGACGTTTAGGTGTTTTTAAATTATAATTACTATAATTAACAAAAATTAAATCATTAATAAAAAATAAATTATTCTTTCAACAAAAGCTATATAAACCTTTTGGTGCACAAACAACAGCGCTCACGCTGTAGAGTTAGTTCTTATAAGAATAAAAAAAAAATTGAGTAAAAAAATATCAACCCTAAACAAGTTTATATTGTTGGTTATGTCCATTTTATCTACTTATCAAATGCTGAATCTGTTACGTGATATTCCATGAATATGTAAATTCGTAGGAAAAAATCCTGAAAATGTTAAACATAAAATATTTCTCAAGTTTCGACAAATGCCAACAAAAGAAACATCAACATTGAGGTTATGTTCAATTCATGTAGTCATTAAATGTGAATCTGCATGCGCATGTATGCAAAAATTCACAGGTAAAATGTAACAAGTTGTAGAAATTAAATATTAAGCGATTTTTTACACGCTTCGTAGAAGTCAAACGCCGATCTTCTTGATTGTCAAGTCGTAGTTCGGTAAATATATAACCGATCAAGGCTGTGAGGAGCGAAATTTTTCCCTCGTTGTAGCGTTGATTAACATAATGTCTCCGCGAATGGAGTAGATATCTGACATGTTTGTATCTTTTTGAAGAGATGCAAAAAAAATGTGTTTTCTTCTTTCACGTCTAACATATAATTAAACTTCGTAAACTTTAAGCATCGCAAAGATTATTTCGCCAAAACATCGGTATAAATTTCCGCATTCACTTACTTTTGAAACCTTCCGAAATTATTCGGAATAAAATAATAAATATTAAGTGAAGTCATAAGTAACTTCCGTTGTTTCATTGAATAACAAAATTATATTAATTTAAGAGTTGATTGGGAGGTCTTCAGCCTCTTGTTGATTGGCGGAGAAGGTGGTAAGGATGTACCGTCTTTTACAAACCAGTTTCTAACTGCCTCATCAGCTATCAGTCCTTTGCCGTATACGTTAAATATTTTTCCAGCTATCGCCTTAGCACAATTGCTTTGTTTAAATTCCCAAAGCTTTACATGTCAAATATCCACTTTTTGACTCTCTATTTCAGAGGTTAAGAAAAACAGTTGACTGTAATATGCTCCACATAAAACAGTTGACAGAAGACTAAGTGTATCCTCATGTATGTAATGAAAACAAATACTCGTCTGTTTCGGTAACTTACAGTGGGGGAATAAGAACAATAGCTACTGCGTAGCTAAATCGGAAGTTACTTATGACTCGACCTACATATATATATATATTATTATAAAAGTATCTATATACTCAACATTTACTTATTTCATAAGCGCCACCTATACTACTGTTGCATTCTTGTAGGACAGCAAAAATTTCACATATTTCATGTTTGAAACTCGTAAAAATTCAATTCATTTTAAGTCCCGTAAAGCATAACAAAGATGCGAGTACTATGAAAGTATAAATATATATGTATGTACATATATATATATATATATATGTATGTACATATATATATAAGAAAATGTGTCGGCCGTATATGATAACTTTTTTATATTCACTGAAAATTTAATTCTGGTTGTCATGTCGACCTTATAATTAAGCTGTTTTCTGTCCTCATATTCTTACCTGTCAACTATCATTTTGCCTTAAATGAAAACAATTTAATACCTAGAAAGCCTTTCATACGCAGGTATTTTAACGCGAAAAAAAAAACAATTTACATAATTAAATTAACAAAGAAATTCAAATGGCTTACGATTTAAATGCAATGACTGTTAAATGAAAACAAAAGCAAGTCACAATCACACACACACAATTTATATGCGTCGTTCCGTGAAAAAAGTCCCACAGATATTTTTCACCATACTTTCCTACTGACGGCAAACAAATCAAGACTATCATTGCTCGCTGGTCGGCGTTTAACGACCACAGAAACTTTATATTTAACTTCACATTAACTTAATATTTACCAATCAACTGTTTCGAAACTTGAGATGTTAAACAGCTTGATGTCCGGATGATACATTAATCGGGGGAAACATACTGAACATGATAAAAAAATGTAGCTTGTCTAAAACCATAGGTGAAAACATCCCAGTCGAAGCGAAACTTTGCGAGAGACATTCGTAAAAACTGAAATACAATTAAGGAGGAAGGACCTACCTATCTGATGGTATTAGAAAGAGATTGTGTGTTACGAGCTTTTGCCGCTTAGCAAATGGATTGGTTAGAAGCAGCCCGCTTGATAGCTTGACACAAAGGGTTGTAGCTTGAACGGCACATTGTGGTGCATCTACCTTAATTTTTGGAACTTGAGGGCGTCATTAAGTGGAAACTTAATAAAAGTAGTCTATATTTGTTTTGTCGTAGCTTGGAGTCCAGTTAGTAACTTCATATTTTATCTCCAGATGCTTCATTTTTCCTCGAAGCATTTTATGTGGAATGACATGAAAGAAAAGAGTATTCTCCGTTCGACTTGAAAGTGAAAGAAATACACTCTAGGACTAAAGTACGATGGGCGAGCGCTTGGAACCAAGACTATCGATTGTATTTCTCAAAAAAGTAGTCTATCTGTTGTCATAGCTTAGAGCTAAGTCAGTAACTTTATATTTTATTTCGCGACGTTTCATTTTCCCTCTCACACGCAATAGTAGTTACAAAGCATTGGAAGTGGAGAGGCATGCAAGAAGAGAGCAGTTTCCGTTCGACTTGATAGTGAAAGAAATACACACTACGTCTAAAGTAAGATTCTCTAGGCAAGCCTATCGGTTCGATTTTTCAACAAAGTAGTCTATCTTTAGTCATAGGTTAGAGTTTAATCCCGATGCTTCATTTTTCCTCTTTCAAAGAAGCCAAGAAATGTTAAAGATTAAAAAAATTCAAACAAATAATTTTTACATACGTCCAAGGAAAATGAACGTTTTATTATCCGAATTTTTTCAAATTATATATAAGAACAATTTATGGCAATCAGAGTGGATCCAATTTGTTTCCATTTATAAAAAAAAAAAAAAAAGCCAGAAAAAATTGATTTAAACAAAATATTGAAATGTTGGTTAAAACTAAGTGTAAATAGCGTTTGTCAACCTACAAATCAAAGAGATCGTAGACAAACACACGGTCACACCGCTATAAAGACAAACATCAACGAGAACACGAAAAAACATATGCACACGCATACACTTAAGTTAACTACCACGCTTGTTACGTGACCCACTTTACGCTAAATTGCTGATAAGTTACGGCAAAAAAAAAAAAAAAAAAAAAACAAAACGACATAACAGACAGACACAATGACTAGCTGCTGTTGATGTTGCCTTTTCTGTTGCTGCTGTTACTGCTGCTACTGCTGTTGCATTTATTGCCTGATTGACTGGTTAGGTTGGTATAGTTTTCTTCTCTTTTTCTCTCTCTCTCTCTCTCTCTCTCTCTCTCTCTCTCTCTCTCATTATTCTAACATCAGTTTTTTAAAAACTCTTTAGCACGATTTAAATTTAGCAATTAAGTAAATGCCGGTAACTTGCAAATCTTTCCAATGATTATTACAAATAAAATTCAATATAAGATAAATTTTAACGACATGAATTAAATGTGTTTAATGTGTTAAAATTTAAAGGAAATCTGGTTGATGATGAAATTATATGCAATAAAAAATCATTGAACTGCACTATCTATCAATTGTTCAAACAATTAATCAGTTGTTGATCAACAATCAATTTAGTGCAAATTTATTAAGGAAAATAGCGTTCACATGCAAAGACACCCAGACAAGCGAACCATTGTGTTGTAGTATATATTTTATTAGTACGGGCGTATGCAACACGCAGAAGGGTTTAAGATACAGTCACTTTTTATTATACCGATCGGTTCAGAAACGTAATCTGAATGGATTTAAACCTATATGTCTGTCTGTACGTCTGATGCCATATGAATTTGCGTTCACAACCTGCAAATATTTTGATGAAATTTGGTACAGTGACGTATTTAGACCCAAAGACGAAGCCTATTGAAAATGCATAAGATCAGTTCACTTTTTCCACCACTTCCCCTATAACGCACTATTCTGAAAAGTCCATGTATGGGAATAAATTTCAATTTTCAAAATTCCTCCGCAAAAGTAGCTAAATACTAGTGTTTCAGCATTCTAAATTGAGGGCAATTTTTGAAGCTCCCTCTCTTATAACGAAAACTAAAGTTCACACGATAAACAGGAATAATTTTCAACGGTTTATGATGAAAATTATATCGTAATCATAATAGTAATTTAACATAAAAAAATTAACTGTATCAAATTTGAATTGTCTTGGTCTATTTATTGGATCCTACCCTAATAAGAATTTTCACCAAACTTGAATTTTTGTAGAGCAGAAAAGTCTAAGTTTTAATATTTGATGATGAAAATTCACTCATAATAGTAATTTCATACTAAAATAAGCCAATAACCGCAATACGCAAGGTGATGTAGGGTATCGAATAGTCGGCGTTGCCCGACAATAATGTGTTTACTTGTTTTTTATTTATTTTTCGTTTTTTTTATGAATTTCAATGACATCTTTCATTCAATGCAATTTATTTACAATTTTAGGCCAAAGCTTTGGGTAGAGTCTTATTTGAACAAGTATGCCGTCAATTGAATTTATTGGAAGCCGATTACTTTGGCCTTGAATATCAGGATAACAAAACGAATACGAAATATTGGTTAGATCTTGAGAAGTCACTAAATCGTCAAGTGGACTTATCTCTAATCGATCCAATGTTACGGTTCTGCGTGAAATTCTACACTCCGGATCCCTCACAACTAGAAGAAGAATACACCAGGTAAGATATTTTAAGGGTATGAAATTATATTTAAATATAACTAACTAAAGACGCCAAGCAAAGATTTTAACAGAGTTCTTTTAAATGAATATTAGGTTGTTTGAAAAGTCATTTCAGTCAATATGAAAGACTTTTTTTTTATAGCCGATAAATATATTATATTGAACAATCAAATTCGATCAATACAGTTTTTTTAACGATCAAGCGAATTGTTATTCGTTAGTTTACATTAGTTACTCCCTTCTTCTCGAACGTGGTCCATCTTCAATATGAAAATTGTCGAAACGAAATTTTGTGAAGCAACGTTGGCATTGATCTTCTGTCAATAAATCTTCTTCCTTGCTTGCTTCTATACTATTTTTAACTTATCGATAGTAAAAAACTAATGTATGTCAGACTTTACTGTTTTCGACTTTCCACAATTGATTAAGCCATTAAACAAAAACTCTTCCTCAAAATCAAAGAAATCTTTTCAATGACAAATCGTTGTTATATCAACTCTTAAAACTTGTAATGAAAATACGGTTCAAGATTCAACTTGGTTGTGAAAAAATGCAATTAAAAGAACGGAATGACTTTCCGAACAACCCCATAGCAAATTTTCAAAATGTCATTCAAAATTATTTCCGACAAAAATGAATATAAACTACATCTGGTTGGAAAGGCTATTGACCAAGGATCCGTGCAATCATTCACATTTCATTTTCTCACAATACTTGATTAGCTAGGTAAGCTTTCGCACTTTGAAACCCATATTTTGCATAACATTTTTTTAATCTCAAATGTTAACTAATTAACATAAGGACATGTTTTGTGTATAATATTGTTCTGAAAAAATTCTACAAAAGTTCTATTTTATCTATATTTGAATTTAAATCCTTTTGAGATTCCGTTTAATAGAATTCTGTTAATGGCTTAACAGACAACTGTTCAAATTTGGTTGCGTGTCTTTGATAGTTACATTTAAATATAACTTTATACTCTTAGGTATTTTTCAGTTTTATTTATTTGCCGCCAAGAAGTATGTATTAATTATTTGCAGGATGTATGAGCTTTGTGCGGATATGTCTAGATAATAATCACAACAACAGCCTTTTATTTTATATATCCATTTAGAGTGATTTTTTGAACCGATTTAAGCTTGTCCATCCGTCTGTTCATTCAGTGGGTGTTAAGTGCAAAAGTCAACTTTTTTGAGATATTTCAACGGAATTTCTTACGCTCAGGGTGGACAACTCCTGTTTGCGAAGACTCCTCTTTGAAAAGACATCATAGTTTGAAAAGGTCGTCGCTTAATTCTCTATTCTCTGTTGTCTCTGATGTTTTAATTAAATATCGATGCTCTGATATATATTTCGTTCTCACTCTTGTACCGTTCTCTTGAGGTTCACAGTGTCTAATCTATCTGATTTATTAAATAATTTCCCAATGATCGATCAACATTCATCGATCGATACAGATTCAACTATACATTCAAAATTCACTTGTTGAAGACACATGTCACGAACGCAGCTTTTAAAAGAGGGAAGATGTTATTAAGTTTTCTGTCAAAACAATGCGAGAAAATAAAGTCTTCCCCGCATGCGCACTATAGTGTAATGTGACATTTTTATCTCAAAGCGCTTTCTTTGCCCCACAGACAATTGTCGTCCCCTCCCAAACTACAGTACGGTTTTTTTAAATGTTGATTAGGTCGAATTTATAACGGAAAAAAGCCTTTTGCGGGAAAACATTATGTCCGTCTTTCCGCCTGTGTAATGTCTGTTGTAAATGTTCCCTTGACCGCGAAAATGAAGCTATTGATAGAAACATTGGAAGTTGTTGTGCGTAGGCTGGTATTGGAAATGGTGCCAAATCTATCAAAGGGCACGCCCACAGCACCACCTACACTGAGAACGCCTTTAGATTGCAAGACGAATTAAAAATTGTTTTTTTGCTCATTACTTATAAACTATAGCAGATAAATGTATAAAATTTTAAACGCATATTCTACTGGCGACGCTATACCATCTATGCACAAAAGTTGAAAAGATTGACTACGCGTACCCAAAATTATTGCGTACCAAAACACAATTTTCCTTTCAACTTCCAAAACCTCGCAAAGTATATGAATTCTTATCTAGTTTCAAACTTGAAATGTATCTAAACATGTCCGTCTGTCCATATATCTGTCCGCGCAAGTGTGTATTATTTATGGTAAAAATTCTCCCGTTTACGAAAAAGAAGATATCGTCTGCAAATTTGCAGAAGAATTTGGAAGTGGCTCGAACTTTTCCAAGGACACGCCCACAATGTCCATACGCCTATGCGACAAAAATTTTTATTTTGAAAATAGAAAACATCGGCTGCGTCCGCTCCATATTAGAGAGCATGAAAATTTAGTTCTTTAATTTTTTTGGTCTTTTTTAGGTGATAACGACAGTGATGGGTATACAAGATTCGGTCACCAATGAATATAATTGTCTTCCTTGTTATTTATTTATTTGGTTTGCTTTATCGTGTTTTCATTGCGTGTTTTTCAGATATTTGTTTTGTTTGCAAATTAAACGTGATTTAGCTACGGGCAGCCTTCAGTGCAATGACAATACAGCCGCCCTAATGGCCAGCTATATTGTACAGGCGTCATGCGGTGACTATGTAGCTGAAGATTATCCGGATCATACGTATTTGTCATCGTATCGTTTTGTGCCACATCAAGATGCCATTATGCAAAAAAAAATTATGGAAAACCATAAAAAACATGTGTAAGTCTACAACAGAAAATAATAAAATAAATCATTCCTATGTGTAATATGACGCGAACGTCACTTAGATCCGACAAAATCCGCTTCAGTAAGTGTCTTTTTCCATACAACAATTCATTTAAAAGTCAAGCGCACTTCTTAAACTTTGCTGGGCTGCGATAAATTTTGGAGTAAAAAAAAAAGTTTCCGACCCGAAGGTAAACGAAAACCAAGTCCAAACCGAGTCTCAAGTCATTAGTCGTAATGGCAAATTTGTATGAAAAGAAGTTCGGTTTGCCCTCCCGCCCACCATATCCATATGCTGTAGCATCCAAGGACCTGCGCTTAATCATTTTTGAAGAAGACTACAAAAGCAATAAATATTTTTTTTTATTCAGATCAGAAACTTTCAAGCGAGTCTCGCTCAATTGTAGATATTCCTAAATGCAACAATAACTATTAGATCTGTGCGCAGATACACATGAAAATTATGTACGATAGTCCGAGTTAGTTAATGTGTTTGTATATGCTAAACCTACTATGAAGGCTGAAATTTGTTTTAGGTTTTTTAAGAAAGTATTAATCGCAGCCAAAAAGCTTTACCCGACTTAACCTCAACACTGAACAATTAATCGTTTTCGGAAATATTGGCGATGCGTCGGATTATTAAGTCGATGCTGACTCTGCTCGACATTTGACAAGGTTTACCCGACTTAACCTCAATAATAAGCAATCAACTGTTTCAAACCGATGCTAACCTCAATACTGGGCAATTAATTTTCTCGGAAACATTTGCGATGCGTCTTATATCTTCGTATAAGCCCGTTGCAATAGTGACTGAGTTTAGGTAAAGAAGCAGAGAGTCACTTAAATCGGGATCTACATGAGTAGCTAAGTGGATGAAAATTGCGACTACCAAGTCAGTGTCCGTGGGTTCAAAACTTATTGTCTTTTGATCGTAGTCGACTATAGCTGTAGTGGGTGCTCAATAAGTAAGCGTAGAACATATTCACTAGGCTGTGGCCTACCCCTTGCTCGCTTTCCCAAAATCTATCTGATGATCATTATCGTGCTATACGTATAAGAAAAATCTCCTGAGTGCTTGATTATATTAATAAAAAAAAGAAAAAGTCTGCGCAATAAATACCACGTACCGGTATTTTTGTTAAGAGGGTAGTGGTGAGTTTGATTCTCGTTTCTTTTCCTCATTTTTTTAAATGTTGACAAATGTTTCACAATATCGCAGACACACATATCCTTTTCGCTCTTTTTTGCCAATCATTGCCGATCACGATCTAGAACTAATGAAATATGCAGACGACCGCGGCAAGTATTGGTGCAGAAGAGCAGCAATCACACCTAACCTCAATAATAACCAAGGAACTGTGGCGAGTGTGTTATGTTAGCTTACGGCGGTTATTATACTTAACCTTTGTATGGCAGGAAAACTAAGCATTCGGTTTTCAATTGGTTTCGCTAAAGTTATTCATATCGCATCATGACTGTGATATTGTCGCGACGACGAGAAGAATCGGACATAACCTCACCTAATGATCGACCAATTGTCTCGATGCAGCATAGCCTCAATATTAATCAATCAGGTATTTTAAGATGTAGAAGGCATGAATGAATAAAATGCTGAGTTGATTCAACTATGCTCCTTTGCCAGGTTGTCCTTGCGCTCGTTCTTGGCCATTGAAATTGATGTGTTTTTGCAAAAATTGTAGTAAAAGGAAGACGACAGATCAATGTTTTCCGCCTTTTTAAAATATTGGCCCAAAACCCAAAAAGCAATTTATAGCTGCAAAGTTATTTTATTACTTAGCAGACGTTATCATAAAATTTTATAAAAATATTTATGGAAATCATTTAGAAATTTTTTGCAAAAACTGGTTACGAATCAATACAACTGAGGTATCTTAAAAATCGACATTGAAAATATTGTTGTGTTTACTTGCCTAAAAGTAGTGTGCACCGTCTCGGTCTCTCTTTTAAATCAACAATTTACTTAAATTTTACATCAATTGCAGAACAAAAGAAAATTACTTGGGAATGTTCCCTGATTTTCTTCTTTTTCTTTTTCTCTTTCTTTTTGTCTTTCTTTTACTTTTTTTTTTTTTTTTTTTGTATGGTTTTAATAATTTTCATTATTTTTCACTATTTCTTTACTAGCGGCCAATCACCAGCTGAAGCTGATTTAAATTTGTTGGAAACTGCAAGACGCTGTGAATTGTATGGCATGAAAATGCATCCAGCCAAAGATCACGATGGTATGCCCTTGAATTTGGCCGTTGCGCATATGGGCATAGCAGTCTTTCAGAATATTACACGCATCAATACCTTCTCATGGGCAAAGATAAGAAAAATTTCTTTCAAACGTAAACGTTTCCTAATTAAATTACATCCTGAGGGTTATGTACGTTTTAAATAATTTCTTGTAAAATTTTTAACTTTAAATTGCAATCTTAACAATATATATCTATACTGTTTTTTTTTTTTGTAGGGTTTTTACAAAGATACAGTGGAATTTCTTTTTGAAGAACGTAATGCGTGTAAAAATTTTTGGAAAAAATGTGTTGAAAATCATGGATTTTTTCGCTGTGCTGTTGTACAAAACCAGCCGCGACGTAAAACAAAAGTTTTATCCCGTGGCAGCTCATTTCGGTATGCATTTATTTGAAATCATGTGTGTGTGTGTGTGTGTGTGTGTGTGCGTATATCGAATATAATCATGCGAGATTACCAAATGACAACATGTCTCAATATTTTCTACAAACAAACAAAATCTTAAGCACTTTCGATTCTGCTATCGTTCGTTCTCAATAACAGCAGTAGGAATGTTAATTAACAGACCGTTTAACGGTTTACTCTTCGATTCTCCTTATTTCTCCTTAATCGTAAAAGAATTCTGATACACTGTATCAAATGCTTGCAAATCAAAAGCATGAATAGTTATATAGAATATCCGCTGATACATACATATAAGTGAATATGTATGAAAAGACCCAAAAAGTAAGTAGAATTGTAGCAATAAAATACAATTTCATCGTTCTATTTCATCGTGAAAAATATTAAATTTTATTTTCACCAAATGTTTCAATAAATTTCATTGCATATACTTTATAAGGAAAGATACAGAAACTTTTTATGATGAAAATAAAGTCATTTTATAGGAATACCTTTATAACTTTATCTTTACTTAACTTATTTTTTATATCCAACATCACTTGCAGATGTTATGCGGTATACAGAAAGACTTACGATAAGCACACATTTTCATATACTAGTCGATTGTAAGTTTATCTGTCCGACTGTCCGGCTTATATTCTTCCGTTCAATCTATAGACCAAAATATTTGAGATAAAAGGATAAAAGTACGAACACTATTAAATTGGTTCGGAATGCGTCACTTTTGCGTCCACTCGCCCGCCATACATTTTGAAAAGTCGCTATATGAAAAAATTGTAATTTTTAGAATTTTTCCGACACAAGTGACTGAGTAATGGTATTTCTAGACTGTGAATTGGTACGTAAAATGTTCTTTGGTTGGGGTAATTTTTTGAACCACCCTTTTAATGAAGGTCCCTAAGAAAACTGATCTTCATATGATAAAAAGGTAAAGTTTGCGCAATTTCATTATGAAAATTGTTTCACAATAACAAATTGACATGGAAATCAATCCTACCGACTTTGGAATACGTAGACCTATTTTTTTGGCAACCAGCGCATATAAGATTTCTCAGACCTAACTGTTAATTTTTAGTGATGAAAATTTACTGAAGTGAAGTTAGCCCCCCAAGATAATTCACATTTTTATGGTTCGCGTATTCGTTGAAAATGTCTTTGCTAAGTTACAATTTATTGCGGACCGGTTTTTGGCGAATTTCGAGATGATGTCCTCTATACAGGGTAATTAAGTTGGGTTTTTCTGATAGGTTTTAGCGTCCTTTAAGAAATATCAAAAATCTGTAGTCAAAAAATGGTTATAACACTATTTTAACATTGCATTCTTTCAGTATTTGTAACGTACTTTTGCATGAGATTTACTAGCAATAACTAGGCATTTATGGTTTTGCGTTCGTAATTAGCGACTTAGTATGTTTTATATGTGCACGTTCGCTAAGATTACTTAATTTTAATACTTATTTTACTTTGTTGTTGTTCGTTTCGCAATAAATTGTAACTTAGCAAAGACATTTTAGCGAAGACAGGAACCATAAAAATGTGGTTGCTCAGGAGTGAAGATAGCCCACATTTTTGTCTTTGTGGGCTAGCTACAGAGGGCTAACTTCACTTCAGTGAAAATTTGTCTTTGATCGTAATTTGGCATATAAATTAAGTCGAACAAATTTGACCCAAGTGCATCTTTCCATTTCATATAATATTTCTCTTGAACAACAAGCCTTTTAAGAGAGGGTTTAATTTTTAATTTCTCAATAGTGGCAAGTTAGCCAAAAAATTAACATTAGGGAATCTGGATCACATAGGCACATTTTTTAGACTTGGGGTTATCATGAAAAACAAACCCTTATGTAGAAAGAAAGTCCAACTTTCACATTTTTAACGACGGAAATCGAAAAGTAACAACATTTTTGGGAAATAAATTGAGTTTGCTAAATTTGGAACACGTCATGTGGTGTTTTAGTTGTCTTTCAATATACCGGCCGTCATGCAGCGTACGCGTTTGCACGAAAATAATTTAGAATTTTTGTTGTATTATTACCAAAACTAGACAATGTGGTATAGGGTGTCTAGTAGTGGGCGAAGGCGACTACCAAAAGTAGTCGCAGTAGTGTAGTGTCTCAAATAGTGGGCGGAGCCCGATTATAATACTCTTACTTGTTAGTTATCCATATTATTTGCATACAAAGATATTTCAGAATATTCAACATTAAATTAATGAAATTTATTCATTCAAGCGAACATAAAATTTAAAATTCTTCAAATTTTAAAAAATTATATATGCAACATGCCTACATACACATGTACGCTTGTTTTTATGCCATGGCACGTATTCTGTTTACACGGACGCTCTTGCATTTAATGCACTGTAATAGTTTAACAGAATTCTTCCCAAATAATCAGAATAAAAGAGGAAGTATTAGGTCGAATGGATGTTAGTTAACAACGATATTGTATCAAAAGTGCCTGGGATTTTACATTATTTATATTTTGAACAAAATGTTGAGACATCTTGTCATTTTAGTTATATCCGCTATAATTCAAATTTAACTAAAAATATATTATCTTTTTGTTTCTCTTTCATAGATATAGTGGACGTACACAAAAGCAGATAATTGATTTTGTGCGAGAAAACTACGTAAAGCGGCAAAATTTCCAAAGGTAAGTTGCTTGACAAATAAATTGCTATAATATTTTTTTTTCTTTATTGGAAATTTACGGTTTTTGTTTAAGTTGAAAATTTTTATAAAATCTTTCAATTTTCTATTTTTGCTTATTTCTTGATTTTGTTTTCTTTTGCAATTAATATCAGATAATAATTTTGTTTATTGTTTGATGTATTAGTTTTTAGTTTTTTTTTTTTTTTTTTTTTTTTTAGTAATTTTATATGTTTTTCTTTCTACTGCACCCACCGCAAAAAGTTACAAGCATTTATTACTGGGGTTTTCCTCTTTTATGTCCAAAAGAAAACAAAAAATAACGAAGAAAATTATATTCGGTCGTGACCGAATCTTTTATACCACCCATCGCCGTTATCTTAAAGAGAGAGCAAAAAAGTAAAAGAACTAAATTTTCATGCTCTATAATATGGGGAACTTTTAAAAGTTTTTGTTGCCTAAGCCTGAAGGCGTTGTAGGCATGTCCTTTGAAAAGTTTAGCTTACTTCCAAATTCTTTTACAATTGCCTGTAGACAGTTGCTTCATTTTTGTGGCAAGGACAGACAGACGGAAATATGGACGGACATGCTTAAATCAATGTAGAATTTTGTGCTGATCAAAAGTATATGCACTTTGTGGGATCTTGGATGCTTCCTTCTGGGCGTTGCAAACGTTTAGAAAAACGAATGCGCCCCTCATCCTCCGATGATGGATACAAAAAGATACGCCTCAGCGAGTTTATAATATACGCGGAAATACTTTCTTAATTAAAATTTGAGGTTCAATCCGATTCTAGAAACCTTTAAATTATTAAATGCTAATTTCATATTGGCCAACAATGCTTACATCGGAAAACTATCGATCGAAAGCCGAATTTTAAATCTATGGTGGATCGGGGTCGACTCAACTCTTATCTGTCTGTTTATGCTTACCCAATAAATCATTCCACCCGGCATCAGACCTGTAATCAATCGGCTGAGAATTGCCAGTCACTGTTTTATGCCCATCAGAATATAACTCGAACAAGAAATTCGATCATCTTTCTACTTTTTCCGCTGGAAATAGTGCACAGGTACTTGCATTTCAAACTGGAAACAAAACCTTAAATATTAAGCTTTGTATAAAATCTTAATGTCAGTTGATTGATCAAATCTCTGCATACCGCACAACTGTTTACTTATTGGTCATATGAAACAAGTAAAAGCACTACCACGCTGTACACCAGCTTACGGTTATTCATAAAACGGCATTTCAAATAAAAGCGTTATATGGGAAATCGTTGAAAGAGCTGTCTGTCCCGAATCATTTCCAACAGAATCTGTCGTTGGGCCAAAACCAGCCGATTTGAAAAATTTCATCAAAATATCGGAGAAATTGGCGCCTGTAGGTAGGTTCAGCATAAGAACAAAAGACGGACAGACAAACAGAGAAATTTATATCGATGCGGTAAGTGATTCTGAAAAGAATGGTATAATGAGAGGTGTGTCTTTCCCAAAGGCTTCTTGGTGTTGTGTACATTCACGTGGAATTGATACGACCATGTGCCACATTGGTACTTGGTGACAAAAGATGATATATGTACAACATATGATGTATATATATGTATATATATAGATATATGTATATATATATATGTATGTACAAGAAGTGGTGGTATCCAATGTATTCGGCTTAAGTCGAATTTTACTTAAGCCTTGCTTTTATACGTTTTAGATTTCGTACCACATAAGCATCACTCAAATGTTTTTCTTATTCTTTTATTTTGATTATTTATGAAAAAAGTACTTTTTCTTTGAAAACCTTCACGCTTTCTTAAAAAAAAATACAAGAAAAAAAAATGAAACCACACACACCAATATTTAAAAAAAAAAAAAATAAAAACATAAAATGAAAATGCAATTTTAGAAAAGAGAAGAGGATTTTTTCGACTGAATTGGTTATAAATAAAATATAAAGCAAAAAAAAAAAGGAAACTACTTTAAAATAACATCTCCTAAATTTATTTTTGAAAATAAAAAAAAATAAAAAAAGTGAAAAACTATACATAATTACTTTAATTTATTTTTTACAATTTTTTTTGTTTATTTATTTATTTATTTATTTTCTTTGTGAATTGGCTAAAAAAAAAGAAAATATTTAGTTTAGGTTTTATTTGTGTCACCGTCATCTCTCTCTCTCTCTCTCTCTCTCTCTCTCTCTCTCTCTCTCTCGCTCTCTCTTTCTTTCTCTCCTTTTTAACATCAAACTCTTAGTTTCATACTACAGACTTACTTACATATATACACAATAACAATTTCATAGCATTTCTATCATTCGTTCAGGACGAGTAGAAATCTCAGTCCATTCATAATCACCACAGACTAAAAATTTCATGAATTATTAGCAATTCTTTTTTTTTTTTTTTAATATATTAAAAGAAGAAATTTTCATGTTGTCTCTGTATGCGTACGCACTAGAGTTTTTGTAATAGTAAATAGTAGTAGTGTGTGTTAGTAGCTCCAGTTCATTATTTGCACTCTCGCTCGATTCATAAATTTTCATAGAATAATAATTAGTATCACTACATGGATGTTAGTTGTTATCATACACGTACACACCCAAACACACCCACATAAACATATATGTATATATTTACATTTGCCAGTTAGTTTATGTGTTTCCCAGTTTGCTACAGTTTTATTTATTTATATTCTTCCTTTTTTTTTTTTTCTTCTAACATCGCACACCAAAAAAAATATTCGTAGTAAAATTCGAAATATAATACCCGTTCTAGACATGTGTCAAGCGTAGAAAATATATGGTGGTCGTATAATAAGCTGTAGCGATATTTCAAAATTCTTGACGTATACGAAGTTTAATTTCATATCAATTCATTTCGAATATATGACGAGGGAAAAATGCATTTTCGATTCAATTCGCTTTTTCATTGTTTAAAGGTTAAGAACGCTTCGAAAATGTAAAAATGAAAGAACAATACCCGTGGGCCAAAGTGTTTATTGTAAATACATCGTCTTTTAATTTTTTCCTTTCGAAAAAGTGCAACATTTCGCCGTCACATATACGTAACATGCCCCGACAATTTGAAAAAAAAAGGTAGCGCTATTTAAAGCAGGCCCGTGTACAACAGTTTTTACCGTAAACGCTTCGCGAAATTTCATTGTAGCGATTTTGATGTGCAAAGTTAAGGGAACGCGTTGGCACCTGGGTTCGAGAACACACTTGCATTGCGAAAACGGTTTGAGAAGCTTCTTTAAAGAAATTTTGATTTCCAAAATCATACTCGATCTGGTCGACTGTTTTAGTGCAGATGTCCCACTGATTCATGCGATATATTTCAGATATATTTTCAAAAAGTGTACAAAGGCGTTGCCAAATTCAGAAAAGGACATCGTAAACGAAATACGTAAATTTTTTGTGAAGGAAAAACGCTTCCTTGCCGTGACGTGAACAAAATACAAGACAACGAACAGCGTTACGACTCCTATTTTATATATTAACACTTTACATAAGTTAATAAGGACAAGAGAATTTGTCAGTGGGTCCATGTTAAAGTCTTATCCCATATCTATAAAACCGACACTCGGTTTAATTAGTTAATCCTTGTAAAAGTCTCATGCCATATCCTTATAAGCGACGTACCGGTTAATCAGTTGATCCATCGTAAAGTCTTATCCCGTCTCTCTGTAACCGACCCTCGAGCTAATCAGTTGGTTCATGTTAAAATCTTATTCCATATTTCTATAGTCGATAGTCGGGCTTATCAGTTGGTCCATGTTCAAGTCTTATTCCATCTCTCTGTAACCGACCCTCGAGCTGATCAGTTGGTTCATGTTTCAAATCTCATTCCATATTTCTATAGTCGACAGTCGGAATTATCAGTCGGTTTATCAGCAGTATTTAAAGTTTTTGCATTTAAACTTCCGAGGACGAAATGTAAATCAAGTCAAAAACATTTATTTTCATATTCAAATGACAATGAAAGTTTGTGTACGTCACAAGCTTTAGAGTGATCGAAAAATGGTATGACTAAGGCTTTTTCGGCTATTGTGACGCGAAGCATTGCTGCTGAGGCAAACAATTCACGAGGAATATTATTTTAGGCGTTATGCATTGTTTACGTGAAACTAATCCCCAATCTCTTCATATTTCTTTCGCGCTAAAAAATCTCCCCATTCTCCAGCATTGTTTTCTTGAAAGTTGTTTCATAAGAAAATCAAATCATATTGTTTCGTAACAATGAAGATCAGTTTAAGTTAGCGTATTCTTGAAATTTAAAAAAAAAGCTATCCAAGAATTGTTGTCTCCAAAAAATTACTTTTCTAGATAAAGGTAAAAACACTTATCTCGCAACTTACTGAAGATAATCAAATAAAATTTGACACAAGCGTCTGTTGCGACGAAGTTTCTAAAAAAAAAAAACAATACTTGTTTAGGCCCCACATGCATCCACTTCGATGAGCACCCAATGAGTTTTAGTTGTTACTACTTTTGTCCTCACAGGAAAAAAGTCGTGACAGTACACATTCATTTTGAACTTAGGTATTAATGAATACTACAAAGAAACTTCATTTTCTTCTTGATTCCATGTAGAAGGTAAATTAAGAAAAAATGTCTTATATCGAACAAGTAGCAGTAGCTTTCAAGAATTCAATATAAGTATTAGGGCGTCCCATAAGTTTTTTACTTTTTTTTTTGATGCGAAATCAATAGACGACTGATCTCATGTCGATTAAATGGTTATGTGCCATTGTCTTGGAAATGTTAGTGGCATCCTTTATGCCGAGGATTTTCAGAGGCCATATTCTTGATCCGTATCCGTCGTTGCTGAGCGACAGTTGCGATCTTCATCTTTCAAATCAAAATTCCCAGCCCAAAATTTCTTAAAGCATTTTTCGAAGACTTTTGCTCGTTTTAGTATTACTCCTATAAACGGTGCAAATCTCGTCTGCAGTGCAATGAAGCATAACATGCTGAAAATGCTTCTTTTGGCTATTCATATGAAACGGCTTAGAAAAAGATTTTAAAAGAGGGTTTGTAACCAGCGAACCGTACTTTGAAAGAGCTGTGAGTCGATGGAAATCGGTGCCATAAACGAATAATAGATACGCCTGCATGTATACAAACATAGCCGGCTCAAGGTCATACATAGTGGGATGAGGTAAACACTTATGGAACACTCCTATATTTGTCAAGACGCTTTTAAATCCCTAGTTCGTTTGAATAAATTTTAAAAGTGTAACTCTAGAAGTGCGTTTCTTTGAAATTTGTAAAAAGTTTCCATCAGCGATAACATCGGATTTCGCAACACAAACTGCGTTCTTGATCAACTCAATGAAAAATGCGATTTAAATATAACTCCCTGTCGTAAAAGTTGCAATGTTTTCGAAACTTTAACTCGGATTTAAAATATTTCTTTAATAAAACCTTTCTACCAAGTTAAAAAAACTAAAGTTGCTTGTTATTACCAAAAACTCAAATATAAATGTGGTGGTATTTTACTATATAAAATTGTCCATGATATGCTGCCATGTTTAAAAAAAATACGATTGACGACATACGATGTACGACGCATACCGTACGATATACAATAACGTAGGGAGTGGATCTATAAACTTGCAATCAAATATCGTAAGATATATTCCGCAATTCCCCTAACACCATTTCTGTAATTTCTTTTTTTCTTAAATCACGATTTCAAAACTAGACAATGAGGAAATGCTCCTCAATTTTGCCCTCCCACTGCTTAAAGTGTCTTTCCAAAATTATTAAGCCGAGTTATAAGCAACTTCCGTTTTTTTTATCAACCATTTATTTTGTTTTTATTGTTAAAGTCGGAAGGACATCTTGTCTTCAAACGTCGTATCCCCAAAATGGAATTTTACAAACCAATCTCTAACTGCCCGATTAGTTATCAGTCCTTCCGCATTGCAAAACATTGTCCCATAAATTCTAGGGAGTTCTATTAAGTATATATTATCAGAGCAAAACTCACTTGTTTATGTCAAGGTCTTTCAAAATAATGTGGCCTAAAATTAAGTTAAAGACCTGAGAAACGTTAAGGTTTTCTTGTTCGAGTTTTACAATTCGCTAAGAAATAAATTATGGTTTGCTTTGCAAATTCGTAACCCTCTGTAAGAAATTGATCGTCTTATTCCTATTGATTGACTTCAGGGTATTGTTAATTAAATTATTAATGACAGCGCGTGAGCATTTGATTCTTCAAAATGAAACTAAGGAAGGAAAACATTTTTTTTTTTTTTTGTATATTATTTAACAATACTCCTTCCGAAAAGCGTTGATATTCCCGTTAATATGGTGACGTGATCTTAAGTTATTATGTTTTGTTTTTATTTTTTTCCTTTCTTTAATGGATTTTTTTGTTTCTGTAATTACCAAACTTAAATAAAACAAAAAAAAAAAAAGATAAATTTTGGATAGAAAATTTGTCCAAAAAGAGGCATTTAGAGAAAAACAACCAATTTGCAAATAGTAATAATAATATAATGTGAAACGTGGCAACACTTAAATCAATCAATCCTCTTGTCTTTTCTTTTCTTGCTGCAGGTCACAGTCATTCCGGCAAGGGCCCTTGAATGCTAGTAGCCGAAGTCAATCGCATACCTATGTGAACTCCAGCATTTCAGCCAATCCTTTACTCCCAATTAATACCGGTTTGTATTTTATTATTATTTTATTTTCTTTTTTATAATCTTTTCTTTTCCTTCTTATTTTTTTTTTTTAATATTTTTAATTAAATGGTTTTTGTTTTACACAATTATTATTAATCTTTAAGAAAGAAACTATAATTTTGTCATGTTTTTATGTCTTCTTTACAGCGGGTTGGGATTATCGCAATCCATGCACCGACTCGATGACGCCTTCTCTGACGAAGAAGGCAGCGGATACCTTGGATCGCCGACAAGACAATCCTACCGACCACATGCGTTCTCAAGTATTAATTTTTACTAAAACAATAAATAAATAGGTTTTTTTTTTCTAAATAATTTTTTTTTTTTTTTTTAATAATAAAAATAGGTCACAGCAGCCCAGGTGGAGATTTATCCGACGAAGAGTTATGCTCCGGAATCGCCAACCTCGGGGGCGGCACAGCAACACCACTCGGCAGTATCTACGGAACAAATGAGTTCGAAACGCTCTGCCTCACCGCAGGGCCGACAATCATGGACTTCACCTCAACACAACAACAGCAATCACAGCAATCATCATCCAACACTCCAACAACAGCGCGCCCCAGATCAGGCTCGTGTGCATCAAGGCGATCACAATTTAGGTAAGCTTTCTAATGTAATAAATTTTTTATGTTTACAAAACAATCTATTTTACTTTAACTGGCTCCCTTCAATATATTTTTATTCTTAAGAAAAATATTTTGATACTTATTTTTATCTATCCACCACAAGAAATATATTAGATATAATTAAGAAAATATGCCATATATATATTCTTTACATCAGGGTGAATACAAACAAATTGATTCTTCGAACTCTATCTGTCCGTCTGCCAATTGAAGCTAGGGTTACTACCTAAAAACACTGTCTAGAAAAAGGCACTTAGTCTCAAAGCCCTTCCAATTACGTTCATTAGACTAACGTCGTGAACTAACAAAATGTGTTCATCGAATTATCTGCAAACACGGAAGAAAAAAACTTTTCAAGTTTTTACTAAAAAACTGGCCACTTTTGTTTCTAAGTGATTTCCTCAAAGTTGAGTCACTTTTAGCTTGGCTTCAAGGCATTTCCTTTTTTCCAAGTTAAAATTTTAGCTACGTGCAGTCACTAATTAACAATTTCCGCTATAGAGCATATATAAATAAGGAGTGGTGCATATGGTAACGAAAAACTGCAAGACAGCAAAATGTTGAAATAGGAATTGAATTTTACACTACGCACAACATGTACGACAAAGTGGTACGGTCTACGCTCTGTGTATGCATTTGTGGTGGGTATTGAAAATTTCGACCCAGGTCGAATATATCTTCTTTTCTATTTTTGCATAATTTTAAAAGCACTCTTTTTCAGATTACTAGTTTACCTCATTTTCGTTAAACTTTCGTTAAGTTATTATCGGTTTTTAATGGTTCCTAAGTTTGCATATTTAGTGCTTAAATCATTTAAAAAGGTTGTAAGAAGTTGATGCATGGAAATTTTGTGTTCGAAAATTTATAGTTTTTATGGTTTACACAAAAAACAAAAAAAAAAAAGACAATATAAAAAGTAGTAAAATCTTACCTCTTTATAAAAACGTAAATGAAGTACCAATAAATTTGTTTTCTTAATAATTTCTTTCAAATTTTATCGCATGAAACGAAAAATAAAATATAATTGAAACTAAAATAAAATAAATCAACAACGATGAAAAATATGAAACAGGTCTGAGCCACTTGTCCCACTTATACAGCAGCAGCACCCCTCGTCGAGTCTCAGTGGCATCCCAAGCGTATGTCCCTGTATCGCCGCAACACATTGCCATCATCAGCAACAGCAGCAGCAACAACAATACCAGCAACACCCACCACACTATCACCACCAATACGGTGGGTCTTTCGGTGGATCTCAACAGCTCTATGGAATTGGATCAGGTGGAGGAGGGGGTGGGGGTGGAAGTAGTATTGGATCATCCGCCGGTGCTCCTATTACCGGAGGAACAGGAGGAATTGGACCTGGTCTCACAAGAGGAGGAAGTGGATTCGGTCTTGACAGCATCTACTACCAATCGGGAGAGTATGGTTTCGGCACAGGGTCAAACGCAAATTGCCCCTCATCCGCAGCTTCGGTTACAGGAGTCCCGATCGCAAACTGTCACCCCAACCCATTATAGCAGTACCAATTATTCGATGTCTAAACAGTGCTCAATGCTTAACAATGCGACCTCAACGGAAACCGAAACAGACAATATTATCTACACGGACATTACTGACGTCGGTCATTATAAGTACCCTAACTTTAATGCTGCGAAAATGGAAAATAAGATTTCAAACAGTGATACACTTAATTTAAATGATCGAAATGACATATATGCTACGGTTAATCGGAAAAACAAATCCAAATCTCGTGAAAAGCATTTTAGTGATGAATTTATTGATGAATCGATACTTCACTATACGCGAGCCAAGCAATTAGGGATAGCAGCGGATATACGTATGCCGTATGGCTCAGCCACGCATAGCGAACATTCTAGTCTCAGTTATCATTTTCATAATGATCTTAATCATCCTTCCGATTCGTCATCTTCATATTTTGGTACAGGTTTCAATACGAAACGTTATCCTTCGACTGTTAATAGTGATCGCAATAAGTTAGCGTTTTCCGATAATTATTTAAATCCCTCCATGGATTCCCAATCCTCTGCTTCAGGTATTAGCATTCCCAGACACACTCACTCTTTACCACGCAATTCCGAGTTATCGGGTGTAGATTCGGTCGATTCATATGACAGCCATTATCTTACGCATCATTCGATTAGCAATTTACAGCGAAGTTCGAATATACCGCGCGCCAGTAGTTCAGGATATCGTCACCACACTTATCATTTGCACGATAGCAAGCCCGTCAGCTCTGCTGAAGAGCGTAGCGCTGCTGGGTCACCAATGGATCGTTTCAAAACCTCCTCCGAAAAGCTCGAATATCAAATGTCTTCAGCCAATTTGTATTCCACGGCCCAATATAATGAAAATGTCGCGTATAATGGTGAAGATCAAGAGGACGGAGATGACGAGGAAGATGTCGACGGTGAAAATATATATGATCAAGTAGAAAAAGAGTCCTGGCTAAAAAGCTCCTCTTGCAGAGATCTTTATGATTTTTCTACATTCTACGGCCGTGAGAAGTCCAAACCGATGACTGCTTTCGATAAGGAGTTCTTTTCGTTTAATCGAATTGATTCTCCTGTTACACGTTACGATGATTCAAGGCATTCGATGTATCTTACAAAGAATCATTCGATCGATGCCACTCAAGGCTTTTCACCTCTTGATCACACTAAAGTGTATTCTTCTAGCTATCCAGGCAGCACTTATAATACACAAGATCATCATCATCGACGTGGCTATGGTCATCATGTAGATTACACCGGATCACAAGATGATATCTCGCAAGATAGTTACGAATTGCTGGAGAAATATGATATTGACTTTTTCAGTAATCGACGCCGTTCTGAAGATCACGCTCGTTCCTGTTCTTTAGATTCCGGCAATTATATCCCCTCAGACGATGAATCAGTATCCGAACATCACCAAAAATATCGTTCAGCAATGGATGTCAAGTGTAAATCTGCAGTTGACATTATGAACGAAATTTGGGATGCCGAGGATCCTCGCTATTTACCGCGTGAGAAACTGTGTGTTAAATCTGATGGCAGTTTCTATAAAAAAATTAAAGACACTTTGTCTCGCACTTCGAGCCAAGAAAGTCGTAGTGAAATTTATGAAACCAAAATCTCCCGTAGCTCAGATTCGAGCAAAAAATCTCGCGACAGTCTTTACCACACTGACAGTAAAAAATCCCGTGAAACTACCAAGTCTAAGACATCAGTAGCTTCTAGCCAGGATTCTAAAGAATCCCTCGTAGGTGACTGTCTTGGCAGAAACTACGAGATGCCAACCACTACTGGTAAAAAATATAAACATCTGAGCAAAAAAGAACAATTTTTACAATCAAGCCAAGAGTCTAAGAGCGATTACTACGATGCTGTTGAATCTGTCGAGACCGATAGCTTATGCGGCCGACAGAAAGTAAAAAGTCATGACTGCCTGCTTTCTGACACCCACAGTGCAAATAGCTCATTCTATGATAGTCGGGATACTTATTCCACTTTTCCCAGTAATAAAACTCATAAAACGTCTAAAGTTCACTCCATAAGTTTACAAAATGTTGAAATCGAACGCAATGCCAAGTCCTTTGGCTCCAAATCACCAGAAATTCTTACAAACACTCCGGCTACCGTCAAAAAACGCGAAGAAAAAGAAATTCAAACCAACGATTCGATCGATCAAACAGCTCCCTTCAGAAAAACGGATTCGCAATCGTGTAAAATATCTGCTTTTCGTAGACGTTCTGATAGCGAAAATATTTTCAGTTTTGATCAGGATCGCATAGAGTGTATTGAAAAATACGGCAAGCACTGGGAAAGTCCTGGCAAAGAGGAAAAATCTAAACAAAGTCCGGAGTATCCTTTAACACCAGAATTAATATCAGAATTTGAGAAGCAACAAAATCGAGTTATTCACCAGAGAATTACACGCAAAGAAGAACTTATGGCTAAAACGCACTTTGAGGAATACAATCCTATAATGGTACCGTTAAATTATAGTCATGCTACAGTTGAACGCACGAAAAGTGATCCTAATTCTTTAGCAAATCGAGCTCGTTTGGGCAGTAACTCTCGACGTCATGTGCTTATGCATCAAAAGTCCATTGATCTTACACCCGCCGATTCCAGCGACGAAGACTATATTTACAAACAGATCCCTAGTGCCCCGCCTCTTTGCAAAGCTCATGGCAACTTTGAAATTCCCAAATGCTATGATACACAACCAGTTCCCGTGGTTGATATTGTAAAAACCGGTTTTGAGATGCCCAAAAGCTTCTTCATGGAATACGATCGCCGGTTTACAAAAATACTAAAGGAAGATATTCCGTACATTCTGCACAAACGTCATGTTATGAACGGAACTGCCCCTTCGCCTAATGACAAGAAACATGCAAAACCTAAATCTCCCAAGTCCCCAAAATCACCGAAATCTCCCAAATCACCGAAATCGCCAAAATCCCCAAAATCACCTAAAGTCGAAGGTAGCAAGTCAATGATTGTGTCCAGTGTTGGAGCAGTCGACTTTCTACCAGATATTTTAGATAGTCTGTTACCAGCGGAAACCAAAGAATTTCTTTTTACTCAAAATATAGACCTCTCCAAAGTGGATCCCATTACTTTAGAAATAGACAAAACTATACCAACTATACAACTGTCGTCACCTAAACGTGATATAACAATGCAAATGGATCCTTCGTTGTTGGAAAAATTGAATAAGAAGCTCAGCCAAATTGAAAGCGATTCCGCCACTAGTTCAAGAACGGAAAGCCTGCAACAACAGAAGAATAAACTTGAACAAAAACAAATAGAATTACTACAAAGTTTAAGAAAAGAGCTACAAGCAAACGCGCGAAAAGCGGTCAAGTCCAGAGTTATACCTAAAACAAAGATATCAGTTAAACCAAAGAAAGCTAAGACCCGTATAACATCATTCTCGTCCGATGACGAAAGTCTTGATTCCGACGATGTGTTTGGATCTGCAGAAGCAATACCAGCGCATCTGGAATTCTCTCCTCCCCAATCGCGTAAAGAAATAGAACCGATCTTACGTATAGAACAAAGTCGTTTAATTTCTGCCGCTTGGGGTAGAGGTCAGACAATGAGTTCAACAGAAATTGAAGGATCTCCACCACAATGTAGGCGTTTAGCCGAATTGGAAAGCCGTTACCATACAAATAACAATAAGTTAGATCCGCAATATGCTAATGCCACAGAACTGCGACGTATATCTGAACGGTCCATATCCATACCATCTTCAGAGGATGAACCTCATGTGCCAGCTCGGCACAAAGACGAATGTACCAACGAATATCAACGCAACGAAAATATTCCGTCACCGATACTCGAACATACCGAGTTCTTTCGAAGCAACGACGACATATACGAAACGTGCCATGAAGAAAAAATTACTGCATCCGATATTGATTATACACTTAAGAAAAAAACCTCTCAGCAACGTTCTGATAAAACTAAGTCTAAGGTGAAATTGATTGAAGAGATTATTGACTCATCGTTAGTAATGCGCTCCAAAGGGCATGCTCCTATACTCTTCGCTCATGCTCGTCTAAATCTCTCAGAAGGCTCAGTATCTCTCCAACGACAAAAAGCTACGCTCGAATCGCCGACGACTGAAAGGCGGACAAAGAGTTTAGATACTCCCGTCATATCGCTACATCGTTTGCCACCTATGAATGCTTTTTCGTCTAAAGACGATACGGTTGGCTTTGAGGAAGAGGCCGAAATCCTTGAAGAGAAAACTTTAGAGCATGTGAAACCCCAACAACAGGATGATGATACAGCAGATAGTGTGCATTCATGTGCTGGATCTATTCCTACTCAAAGCAGTTATGTTACACCTAGTAAAGATTTGCTCCTTAACGCAATAACTATAGATGCGGAAGAAATGGGATTATTAAACCAACTTAAATTTATAGAAAAAATTGCATTGCAGGGTGTGAAAATTAAAGATAAAAAAAAGTCCAGAATGAAACTGAAAAGTGGAAATCATTTGATTTTAAATATACCTAAATATAGGTTCACGGATTGGTCACCTTACAGCTCAGCAAACAGCTCTAGGAAAACGTCCCCTGGAGTATCGCGGGCCAGCAGTATAGAGAGTACAGGGAAAGGGAAGCTAAAAGCTTCTCAAAATGATATATGCAAATCGAAATCCTTCACATCTCGATCACGCCCAGAATCTAGGCGCACTAGTGCTGATGATATCAAACAACAGCATTTACAAAAAGATGGTAAAGGTAAAAAGACCAGTCCTAAGGAACGACCACGTTCAATTGAAGCTCGTCGTCTTAGCAAGGATAAGAGCAAAAGTCAAGAAGAAACTGAAGCCGACATAATTAAACGTAAAGAGCGCCAACAAAAACTTTATGAGTCTGCTATGAAACAAACCATTACAATGTTGAGTCCGGTAAAAGATACTCTACCGCCCTTCCCTGCACCTGAAGATAAAATTTCTGTAAAAACCGAAGGTGATAAAATAATAATCGAAACGGAATTTAAAAGCAAAGCTGAAGACCACGTTTTAATTGCTAAAGCTCCCCGAAAGCTGGATACTTCGTTGGTGAAATTCAGCCGTAGTTTTGACGAGGGCCGTAGCCCTGATAAGCTTGAAAAAGCAAGCCGCAGCTTTGAGGATCGTAACAAATCTTTTGAAGAATCTGAAAAGTCCGATGTACCAGATGACATGATAATTAAGTCGCCTAAAAAAATTGCCAAAAGCCAGGAAATTAAACAAAAAATTGAAGGTCCTGTGATCCTTCAAAAAAAAATCGATATCAAATCCAGCAGCATGGAAAGACCTGCAGAGCATCATTATCTAGGAACAGACGTAAAAGCACGCAGTTTAGACGACAAGAAACAAAATCAAACGGATACAAGAAAAACTGAGGAGAAACTGCCTATACGAAGTGCTATAGGTGATCGACGAATGTTTGCGCATCAATTTAATGTGCAAGAAGATATAGACATGCAAGCTGTTATTTCCGAAAGACGGTCATTAGAAATATTAAAACGCTCTTTGCCTTCCGAAGATACCAAAGATAGTGAGGGTACTTACAGTCGCAAACCTTCGACTGCGGATAGCTTAGACTCGTTTGTTTCCGTAGACGAAAGCCATTCTCCAGCCAGTAAAAGTCCTGTACCTCCAGCTGAAGGAGGTTATCCTCATCGAGTGCCAACTATTGAGTGCGAAGAGGCGTCGATTGAAGAAGACGATAATTCTATGGGATCACGACATTTAAAAGTTTCACGTTTAGATACTAATCGTTTAAGTTTGGATCGTAGCCGTAGCGACGAAACTGGTTCCTGGATGACTGTTGAATGTGACGAATTTGTCGGCTCAGATACATCGGACAATGAACCTCGCACCTTAGAACCAGAACGTAATGTGCTTGAGACGCAAGCCACTCTTGACGATGCCGTTCCGCTAGAATATTCTAACTGTGCTACCCCAACTTCTGATCTTAATATACTAGTGACACCGCCTAACACTAGTCCCATGATTGAGAAATCAGTAATAGAAACTTTCGAAAAACAAATGGAAAGACCAGAACCAAAAAAAAAACCTATACTTGAAAAACAAAGTGATAAATCAAAGAGTTCTGATTCATGGACCAGCGGCGAAAAGGACGTGAGTCCTGCAAGAGGAGAAAAACAACAAGAGTGGAGTTTATCAGTCAGCGCGGGTAAAGAAAAAAGTTCCGTGGAAGAAGAATCTAGCGTCAGTTGTTCTATTGCCAGACCAATGGGTATATCACAAGATTTTGGGGACGTTGAAGCAAAAAAATGCATGGAGCTTAAACAAAAAATGTTGAACCTAGAAATAAGTAAAACTGCTGACAGTAAACCGCCACCGTCGAGTCCACTGTCAAGAGACACAACTCCTACAAATGATCCTAGGCAAGGACAAGCAGAAAATAAGGTTGTGGTCAAAAAGCCTTCTACCCCTACTTTAGAGAAACAAAGTCCTATCGATTTAGGCATAAGCACAGAATCTTACTTGGAGCCCATAGAAGAAAAAATAGCTAAAATTTTACAGCGGCCGGAGGATACTGAATCTAGTTCGGGAAGTTCTAAAAAGCCTCCAAAAATCGAAAAGCCTGTTAGAAAATTAGCTGTTGGGCGGGCAGATAACGATAAAGCTCTAAAATCTGGTAGCAGTTCTCAGGAATCTAAATCAAGTTTTGACTCTAAGGGTTCACTTAGTGTAGAATCTCGTGGATCATTTGAAACGGAAAGCAGTTCAGGATCCATGGGGGCTGCTCAAAGACGAGGCGAACTACAAATGAAAGAGCAGCAGTCTACATGGAAGGCCTTCCCTATAGAGAGCAGCGGAAGCTCCAGTACCGACGATCCATGGCATCATGTAGATACCGATGGTTATGAACGTTATGATGCGAACAACCCTTTACGCGATTCTTCAGACAGCGAATTCAAAGAAGTTTCACCAGATGATCAAAAAGAGAGCGACACTAGCTTTCAAGATGAATTGAATGACTTTCCAACTACTTTTGGTTACCCAGCTATGACTAGTTCCCTAAGCGGCATTGGCGTTAATCCTACTGATATCATTGGGTATAGTACGGGCTTTACTCTGGGGAGAACTTTATCAAGAATATCTGAGCGTAGTACAGCTTCTGAGAAATCTAGCATGGAGGACGACGTTAGCAAAGCTTCAACACACTCTGTAAGCATGCGAGACGAATCAGTAGGCTCCACAGATCATCAACCCAGTTTAAGTTCAGATTCCAGAAGTAATACTAACTTAGCCTATATATCAGACGCAGATCGACGAACATCTGCCGAAATGCCAGAAATACCATGCGATTCTGCCACTGGAGATCGTTTATCCAGCATAGGTAGTTTAAATGAACCAAAATCGCCCACCGTAGTAACAGGACGTTTTTCGGTCACTCAAGTTGAAGAGGAGCAAGGAGAAGATCGTCATACTTTGATGTGTTTATCGAATGCTGGCAGCCAAGATTCGGAAGATTGGCCATTGCCCGAAATACCGTTCGATCACGTTCCAGTAAAGCCAGAGGAATCTATATATCACATGCCCGACCTTGATAAGCCCGTACCCAAATCTTTTTGTTGGAAAGCTAGTAGGTCCTTCCAGTCGCAGGACTCTCAAGATTGGCCTTCACCACCATCTAGCGCAATAGATGTACCGATTGTTATAGAAAATGTGGAGACTTTCTATACTTCGGAAGCGCAAAAAGCCGATCAAGTGATGATCGAATCATTTACGGCAACTGATCAAACAGAAGACGAATTTCAATCGCCAAACGAAGATAGGCTTTCCAATGAAGATTTTCCAATCACGCCTCCAGATGCAACTAGAATCCTATCTTACGAAGACACAGCATATTTGATGTCATCAGCATTCGATGATAAAGATTTTGGCAGTGATGACTTACAACATGACACTCCCACTTGCTTAAGTTCAACTTTAAGCGCTGCTTCGTGTTTATCTAATTCATTCAACATTACTTGTTCATCTTCGCCCAAGTCCCAGCAGTTCAGCTCTTTACGAAAAGATTCTAGTCCCGACTCCGTCGTAATGTCACAACCAACGCGTTCACCTGCGCCACGCAGTCCTCTCTCAGAAGATGAAGTGTTCTCTGGAGATGATGTTTTCATGCCTGGCACAATACGTGTTCAATTATCTCCTGATGAAAACCGCACCCATGAGTACATACGAAAATTATCACGTGGATCCAATAATTCAGATACCTCCATAGACGATATTCTGTCCACATCCGGTGGCACTTATATGGATGATCAAACGACAGTTAGGCGCAACTTTGAACCGCGTCTAAGTAGTGGATCCTGTAAGAAATGCAGTCACTCCAGTCATTCAGAAGAAGAAACCAGTTCCATTGGCACCGATTTAGATGGCACCGTGCGGATGGGCTTACAACAAAAAAAATGCACGCATAGCTCGCATTCAGAAGATACTTCCATAGGTTTAAGTATTTCCGAATGGTCTACAGGTACAAATACAGTTAGACAGTACGCGAATCTTTCAGGATCAGATAGTTTGTCGGCTGTTTCAACACATTCTTGTGCAAAAAGTGAAAAGTCATATCACACAAAATCAAGCATGAGTTCGATAAACAAATCCGCTGAAAGTCTAAATGAGCAAAGTTGTAGCTTTTCAAACAAATTTTCGGGTGAAAATGGTTCATCTGATGGCCTTCGTTATGACATTTTGTCAAATTCGGAAACCGACAAAATGTCTGAAACAACTTCGGCCACAAAAAGCGACGATACAACTTTAACGTTAACAGAAATGGCCCATACCATCACTGAATGGTCCACATCCAGCAGCAGGACATTAGTAGGAGCAGGAGCGGGCGAAGGCCAAACAGCGGAACTTAGGGGAGGAAATCGACGAGGCAGTTACATCGATTATGCACCAATTAAACAGACGAGATTGGGTAATAACAAAAAGTCTCCCAGTGAAGAGAAAAGAAGCTCTTTACCTCAAGTGCATCGAAGAAGTGGAAGTAATGGTAATCAACGCGTAAGCACTGAAGATGTAGTTCAAAGAACATCTCCACCAAAAATAAATGATAATGTCAGACCGGGAGTGCCAGTACGTGTTCTTGGGAAAGATGACATGGCTGACACTTCAACCGCGGCACGAAAACGTAAATCGTTGGAGATGATGTCGAAACTTTACCAAAGTCAAGAGATTTGTTCTGAAAGTGAATCATTTGTAGAGCGCTTGTATTCCCCGAATGAAAAATTAACAGAACGTTATCAAAGTCAAGAATTCGTGCCACTGCATGTTCAATCGCAACCACAATCAACTAGCCAAGCATCAGGACAAACAAAAACTCAGAAGCCAAAAGCCCCTCAACCACCTGGAAAGCCAAAACCGCAACAACCAACTGCCAAACCAAAATTGAAAGTCACGCAACCTTTAATGCAAGCCTTATTGAAACACATGAAAACCCCGGGAAAAGCTGAGGAAGCAGCAGCAGCCGCCGCTGCTGCCACCAGCGAAAGTGCAACCGTTTCGCAGCAACAAGAGGAAGAGAAGATGAAACCTAAACCGCCGCCTATACCGACAATTCCACCTATTACTACGCCCGATGATTTACCAAAAACCATAAGTCCGCCAGGTGAAAAGCCTTTAGCTAAGCACCATAGCTACGATGATAAAACTCTGTCAAAGTCACAAATACGAGAATATAAAACCAGTAAAATACGGCAATCGAACTCATTCCATGAGCATATGCTCGCCCAATCTCAACAATCCTCCATTGAATCTATGCCTCCTCGCATTGACGAAGAGTTATCGTCTGTGGGCGGAGGTACTACTAGTGGAGCCTCATCGGCCACCAATACGACAAATACTTTGAACAGCGAAAATACGACGAGCACTGAAAACTTATCACCTATGTTGCCGCAAAGAGCTGAAAAATTAATAAAATGCTCTCCCTATTATTCGAGCAGTTTGAGTTCCGAGTCACCACCCAACCAACTAATACAAAAGCCACCACGTAAAAGTTCCATTTCACGGGCGCCAATGGTAAAAAGCCCGCCAAGTGGCAACGATACTGACAGTTCTGTGGATGTACGGGCTCAAGATCCTAAATTACGCAGTCGAGGTTATCGGAAAAAACGACAAATAACGGCGAAACGCTTAAAGCCTAGCGATCGCATGCCTATGGAACAAGAAAGTTCAGAATGTTCGGAAGGTTATTTGCCAGGACCCGATTCTGATCCTTCAAATAGGCTAGACGATCAATACTACGAGTTTGACGAAGAGCTTGAGCAAGAAACCGATGAGTACGATGATTATCCCCAATACTCGGGGGCTGCATATTCATCCACCTCATCCGCTTTCGAGAGTTTAGATATGACGGATAATGTCGATGAAATGGGCTTCCCGCGCTATGATCGTCTCAGTCACATAACACAGCCTATTTATCATCAAGCTTTCCAGCAAATTCAAGCCCGTACAAATTATACGACAACCAAGCCAGCACCTACCAATCATCCAATGCCACCACCGAATGGTCAACCCATTAAACCAGCCCGTACTAAGAAACGTCAACTAAAACGCGAGGATTCTATGATGGGCTCCTCAGCACAATCCTCAACGTCGATACATTACAGTAAAATTCATTATCGCGGAGAAGAAAGCGAAGTAGAAACAAAAGCCGGTCTTTCAGATGATGTGAATAACAGCAGCGAAGACAGCGGTAGATTTATACGAAGTTCTGGAACGATACGTCGTGCGACCGTCTCGCAACAAATATGCAAAACCGATCGAGACGACATCGAATTACCCTATCCCGATTTTTTGTCCGATTGCGAAACTGAGCCCATAGAATATGAACGTTTTGCTTGTGGCCTTGATATACGAGTTGACCCACCACCCAAATTTCATGATTCCGATGATTTGAGTGATCAGTAAATGATTAAAAAATCGCAAGCATTCAGTTCCCTTAAAGACTTTACAAAGTTAACACATAAAACAATATAATCAAAATAAATTTTAAAAAACTTTTACAAATCTATAACCACTTGGGGGGCAAAAAAAAAAAACGAATTAAGAGTTTAACGAAATGTTTTTAATTCAAAGAGAAAAAAAAATTTTTTTTTCTTACTTCCCCTAAAATATGTACGGTATAAAGTGAAATCATATTCATTAGTAAGATGCAAGACGGAACTAATGCAATTTCTTCACAGTAAAATTCGAAATAAATTTAATACAAACATGATTATATAAATTATACTATAATCTGAAAACGAACGATACGTAGAATGTTGTCTGTAGTTAAAATTGATAATGATAATAAAAATAAAATACATACGAAAATTCATATAGGTTGAGTTATTTATTTAAAAATAAATAACAAAAATTGTTATAGCAACAAAAAAAGTTACAAAATGTTAACAAGAACAGCAAAAACAGCAACAACAACAAATACATAACTTTAAAGCACTGTTTATTCATCAAAAAATAAATAAATAAATAAATAAATAAATAATAAAAAAAAACATAACAAAATAAACGAAAATATTTCAAAATCTAATCAATTAATAAAGATTTAAAAAAGAAAACGAGACGAATGAAAGCTAAAAATCGAAGCAAATTATAACAGATATAAAATAAAATATAATTTATTTCATTTTGCCTATTAATTTTCAACATTGTAAATGTTTGCAATAGCATACACATGCGTTCACATAAATCTTTCAGCAAAATTTTCAATTCAATTTGACCCTCGTAAACCATTTTTATTAACATTCTTCGCACCAGTGAATCTTTCATTAATATTCTCATGGTCGAATGTGAAAATCTATGAATATTATTTCTCATTACCACCACAAAATTATATTTGTTTTAGACCGGATTTTGAAACATAAACATCATATCAAAATATAGCTACAAATAGGTAAGTTTTTATTCTCGCTAGAAATATGTATACAAATGTATACAAAGCATGAAAAATATATTTATGTAACGAAATAAATTTAAATATACGCGTATAGTCTGAATTTTGCCTTCATTAAACGAGAAGCGCGCCCGTATTTTACATTCAAAAGCTAATTAGTCCTCGTGGCTATAAGTAACGTAAGCTTAACTCGTGTGCCATCGGAGTTAAGTGCTTCATGGCAAAACTGACGAGACATCTGCTTGGCTGCCTACTATCTGCCTCTCTTTGGTCCCACTCCCATTCATTTTCTCTCCCTCAAGCTTATTCACTATCATGTTTTTGCTTATCATTCCCGCTAGGTAATGTTCAAACAATAAAAAATCGATCTATACGTTTCTTCAATGTAACAAGAGAAATGAACACATTATAGTCGAGATAGGCCGACTATTAAATACCCTACCCACCTTGTCTAATAAAATTCTTATTTTTGCCACAAAACACAAACTGCTTATATTACAAATTAAACCTCTTTACAAATAAAGACATAGTTTCCGTAAGAATGATTGTGTTGCAGATGTTCAAAAATTGACGTACGCATTATAAATTCAGCACAATTAGTTTTTATATCCAGCTACTATTATGGATCATGATAAAATATTAAAACTTAGACTTTTCTGCCATAAAAAGCGACAATTTTCGGGAAAATGCTTATGTATATAGGATGGGATCCGAAAATTACTATTGTGGATGAACTTGCATCATAACATATTAATATTTACACTTTTCTGCCCTATAAACCATCAATTCTCGTAAAATTCCTTTTATAGGGTAAGATCCATAAAATAGGCCGATATGATCCAAATTTGGTACAGGCAATTTTTTTATCTAAAACAACTATTATCATCTGATTCTCATCATGAAACATTGAAAATTTGCCGCTTTTGACATATGAATTTATGTTTTCATTATATAAGAAGGGGTGTGAACAACTGCTCCAGCTGGTCCATAGTTTTGACACTAATTTAAAATGCCGAAATACTATTATTTAGTCACTTTTGAAATTATAATCTGTCCGTACAATGACTGTTCAGAATAGAACGTTATATAGGAATTAGTCGAAACCTTCGTCCTTGGGCCAAAGTACTTTACTGTACCAAATTTCATCAAAATATCTCAAAAATTACGTCCTACGACTTCAGTACAAGAGTATATGGACAATCATCAGACGGACAGACAGACAGACAGGCTTAGATCGACGTAGAGAATCGGCAAAATAGAAAGTGCGCCTATCTTAAGCCCTTCTGGTTGTTACATGCGCCCGCACAAACTTAATATACCCTGCACCACAAGTGGGGTAGGATGTAATCAAATTAAAGTGGACGAAAACATGAAAATTATATAACTCCCCAAAAATTAATTCCAAATACTTTTGAAAAAAATTATTTAAAATACACATGATATCCCTTATACGATACTATATACGGATGAACAAATTTACTTTTACTTATGGACAGACGGGCAGACAAGCTTACGAGTTGAGTCTACCTCAAGTTCTTCTGGGTGTTGCGTGCATCCGCACAAACTTAATACACCCCTACAGCACAAGAGGTAAAATATATATAAAGTCACTGGTGCGATATTTCGTGACATAAAAATTGCTTAACTCTGGCCTCTTTCGCACAAAACGAAGTTTTGGAAATGGCTGATAAATTGTCACGGAACCAACTCACTACATAATCTTCCCAAAAAAGCATCCATTTGTTTTCCATTCTATAAGATGAGCAAATTTGAAAATTTCCATTACTTTTTGACCAAATCCGTATAGAAAAAATGATCTACTTCGATAATATTCACTTATACTTTGCTTGAGCCATTTTCTAAATTTAATAATTTTCTTATACAAAAAAAAAAAAAAAACCAAAAAAATTCTAAAACGCCTCGTTGAGAACTGAACCATTCTTTCAATTCTATTCACTCACCTGAGAAAATCAAAATGTAATCATTTGTTTAAATAACATATTTTACAAAAACAAAAAAAAGAAAAAAAAATAATAAAACAAAAAATTGTTAAAAATATGAAGAAAAATTGCATTTAGAATTGATTATTAATTTATTCAATCAAATACTTAGTTAGGATCGACTTATACTTACATATATGTATAGATATATATATATATATATATATATATATGTATATGTATATATAGTACCAAATAACAACCGGAAAGAACAAAATGAACTACAATACCTTACAAACAATGTGTCAAATGCGTAACGTTTTACAAAAAAAAAAAAAAAAAAAAAAAAAAAAAAAAAACAAAAAGCTCAAATAATTCAATTAATTTATTAATATTAAAAAACAAAAAAAAAAACCCAGTACCTATTTAACCTTCCATCACGTTTATATACTAATTCATTTACATATATCCATATATCCGTACGTACATATATATACACACATACGCACACCTTTCCCGGAAACATAACATATAAAATGAATGGATGAATTAATTAATTTTTGTAATTAACACACTTTGTTTTAAACTTTTTGAAAACAAGAAAAAAAAAGAACTCATTTATTGCTGTTTATAAATAATTCAGCCTTTTTATGATAAAACAAAGAGAAAAAAAAATGAAAAATAAGTTAATAAGGATTTATTAAAAGCTTTTCTATTAAAACACATATGTAAAATAGACGTATGCATGTATGTATGTATGTATGTACGTGTGCCAAAGTATTTATTTAATTAAGAGAGCATTCAAAATGTGTTAATAAGTTTTTATCTATCCAGACTACATGAAAGCAAATATTTACGCAATTTTAATATTTATTAGTTTCATAAGCTGCAAAACGTGAAACAAGTTAAAGAAAAAAAAAAGGTTAAAATTATTTACAATATAACACTTAATTCATTAATTACTTTGCTTAAATTTATATTCAGGCGACAATGGCGATTGTATTCATCTCCTTTCCTTTGAACTTTTTCCATATATATTTAGGTATATATATATATATATATATATATTATGTATATGTATACAGATATATGTGTATATGTACATGTATATATATATATATATATATATATATAATAACATATTTCTTATCTATATCCAAATCCCAGATATCGTAGTAATTTCATGTTGTCTATTATAAAAGGCATATGTCTGTACATATACATATAATATATACATATTCACTATATATATGTCTATATATATAGATATATTACACATATATTCATCTCTGAGAAGAAGGTCACACATGGCTCAGATATTCTAGGATTTTCATGCTTTCTATTACAAAAGGCATATATATATAGCCATATATATCTATAGACATATATGCATATTATATACATATCCATATGATCACATGACTTAGATGACTTTATGCTGTCTCTTATAAAAGAAGCCCCTGATAGCGTCTCTGCTAACAATCCATCTCAGAAAACTAACTGAAGGTGAGTAGAAAAGAGATGACTTTTCTCAAATGCCTGTCTAAAACGAACTTGCGACAGGCTATTGCCACTATTTCAATGAAATCGAAGGATTCTGAAATGTAGTTTTTCGCCTTCGTTTTCTCCCTTATTTTGTTGCTAAGGTAAGCATTGAGAGCATTCGTCAAGTGATTATGTTTTCAAATTTGTTTTTGGTCATTTGCACTCACTTCTTGCTGGAGGATGCTACGGCGTCTCACTGCAGTCGAATGGGCGGTATAAAGATACTTTAAATTCGAGATGTCAATATATTGAGCTTACACCTCCCACGGTGCAGGCAGTCCCTGCCTTTCTCCCCACTCATAACCGTAACCGTGTTATCTTTATAGAGGCTCTCACCTGCACATAAGTACATGCGTATATATATATGCGATAGGCATAGGTCTACGCACGGTTAGAAGGGAAATACTATGCCTTTACCGACCCACCGCTCACTATAATTATGATCAAATATAAATCGTATGGCATGCTCCAGAAAGATAAAAAAGAAAACAAATAACTGCCACACATTGCCGTTTGTGAATATGGTGTTGGCCTCGGTCTCACTTACAAGAAACTTCGCAAACATTGCCTACATCTACGAAAATCTAAGTCTTCGGTGGCAGTTCTTGGACGGAGCTTTTTTAAATATCTTTAGAATTTCTATTAAGTTATCGTTCAGCATATCCCTAGATGTCTTCAGCAATCTAAACTGTTATTTCTACCATTTTTTCATTCCTGGAATATATACAGAGAAGCTCAGGATGCTTGTTCTTTTCAAGTGATTAACAAACTTTTTCAAAAAAATTTTTTCTGTACAATTCTGTCACTTAAACTGACGGATGATAATTTCTATAGCACAATAGATGTAGATTTGGGTTACATTTCCTTACAAAAAGTTCATTGAGGTAGTAATTGCAATATAGCAACAATCTACAGTTGATCGTGATCAAGTCAAATTAATAGAATATTACATATATATATATGTGGCTTCCGG